CATCTCCGCCAGCTTTATATGGGCTTGCATCCAAAAAAGGGTTCTGAGGCCTCTGCCAGATCATCTCTCCATCCTTCCCAGAGCAGGTGATGCTTTAGATCTCTACCCAGGAAAGCCCCAGGACATTGTTTAGTTTCTCATGGGTCCTGGCTGCCTTTGCAGGCATCTTCAGTTGCTTCTTTGTTTCCCATTCTCCACAGGAGTAGGGAATAACAATGATGGGACTCTTGTTCTTGGTGCCACAAACATCCCCTGGGTGTTGGATTCAGCTATTAGGAGGAGGTGAGTTGAAACTAGGAGCTTAGGGCTGATATCTTTGTCTAGCAATGATCCATTTTGCTACTAGCTGTCCGCCCCCATTTCTCTGGAATCCTCCCTTGTCTGCATGTCAAACAGAGCCCTTGGTAAAGTTGGGTACTGGACCTGGATCTCTCATTTTAATATGCATGCTGCCCTTTCCCTCCACATCATTCTCTGGTCAGCTCCCATTTGATGTCATGCATATATCTCTCCAGGTTTGAAAAGCGAATTTATATCCCATTGCCAGAGGAAGCGGCCCGGGCCCAGATGTTTCGGTTACATCTTGGAAGCACACCTCACAACCTCACGGATGCTAACATCCATGAGCTGGCCCGGAAGACAGAAGGCTACTCAGGAGCTGACATCAGCATCATTGTGCGAGACTCTCTTATGCAGCCTGTTAGAAAAGTTCAGTCAGCAACACACTTCAAGAAGGTGAGTAGGCAGCAGCTTAGGCAGTGTCACAGTCAGGAGGTGGGGTAGCTTGTTTTTTTTTTTTCACCAGCTTCCTGACTGCTAAAGGTCCATTCTCTGTGAGAGAACCAAGGGTAGTTTTTGTTTCTGAGATAGGGTTTCTATCTGTAGTCCTGGCTGTCCTTATACTCACTTTGTAGACCAGGCTGGCTTTGAACTCATAGATCTACCTGCCCCTGCCTCCTGAGTGCTGGGATTAAAGGCGTGCACCACCACCGCCCGGCTCCAAGGGTAGATACTAAGTACCCTTTTACTCTAGGACTAGAACTGTATCACACATCCTCCCTGGAGTTACTGCTGGAATATAGTGCTCTTCAGCTGCGGGAAACAAGACAGCAGCCAGCTCTGTGCTGGAGGTCAGGGTGCACACACACCAAACACTTGCCAGACACAGCAAGTGGAAGGTTGCCCACTCATTCAGCCACATCGTTGTTGTGTGTCTGCTGTGGATCCTGCTGTTTCAGCACTGTCCTGGGTGTGGGGAAGGCAGTAGTGGAGACAACCAACAAGAGAAATACTGGTTCTTCAGCTAATAGTGAACGCTTGTCAGAGCAGGTTGGTGACACTGCGAGTTCCAGAAGTTTGGAGGGGTGAGTGGGTTGCTCTGTTAAAAGGAAAAAGACACACTGTAGTGACCAGAGCCAATTCTTGGAGATGGGGGAAGTAGCCTTGAGATGCTTGGGGTGTGTTTCCCCTTGCAGGAGATGTCAGTGGGAGGAACTTTGTTTGTTTTGGTTTTTTGAGACTGGGTTTCTCTTTATAAGAGCTCTGATTGTCCTGGAACTTGATGTATAGCTCAGGCTGGCCTTGAACTCAGAGATCCACCTGCCTCTGCCTCCTGAGGGCTGGAATTAAAGTTGTGTGCCATCAATGCCCAGCTGGGAGGAACCTTTTTGCTGCAACTACATTTATAGGGATGAATCTTGGTGGCATTATTGAGGACGATGGGTCTACACTGGGGCTACAGGTGGATTCTAGAGACCAGCAGCTAGAAAAGGATGCTGTCATGCACTTTTTTTTTGGTTTTTACGAGACAGGGTTTCTCTGTATTGTTTTGGAGGCTATCGGTCCAGCCCGGCCTCGAACTCATAGAGATCCGCTTGCCTCTGTCTCCCGAGTGCTGGGATTAAAGGCATGTGCCACCACCGCCCAGCTGTCATGCACTTCTAAAATCAGACCAACCCACTTGACCTCAGTCTGTTTATTCGTTGTTTTTGAGTGTGTGCATGTCGAGGTCAAAGGATAACTTTGAGGAGTTGGTTCTTCCCTTCTGCCATATGGACCTGGGAGAGCAAACTCACATCATCAGGCTTGGTTACAGGTGTCTTTACCATCTTACTAGCTGGAATTAATTTGTTTTGAGACAGTTTCAATTAGTCTAGGTCAGCCTCAACTCTACCTGACGTAAAAGATGAACTAAAACTCAAAAATCCTACCCATACCTCCTAGGTGTTAAGATCACAGGTGTTTGCCACCAGAGGGTTCTTATTTGTCTTGTTTTAAATACTGTGGGAGTAGAGGCAGTATGCATGGGTGCCATGACGTTTTGGAGGTAAAAGTCAACTTTGAACTTGGCTCTCTTCTACTTTCACATAAGTTCCACAGATGGACTCGGTTGTCAGGTTTGCACGGCAAGTGCCTTTACCCACTGAGCCATTTTTCAGATCTCAAACCTGAGTGTTGACAGTCCATCGATAGATGGGATTCGATGGGAAATTATTGACCCAGTATAAGACTCCATATAACTTGATTTCTCCTCCCATAAATCTCTTACAATAGGTCAGACCTGAGTTTTAAAGGAGCTTTGCCCCTCCAACCTTGCTGACCTAGAGACCCCAGTATCCCTTCAGCCTATCCGGTCCTCATGCATACTACCACTATGGCCAGCTGCCAAACCAGCCTGACAGTTTCTGCTTGGTTTCAGGTTTGTGGCCCTTCCCGCACCAACCCTGGTGTTGTGATTGATGATCTTCTGACCCCATGTTCTCCAGGGGACCCAGGGGCCATAGAGATGACGTGGATGGATGTCCCTAGTGATAAACTCTTAGAGCCTGTGGTTTGCATGGTAAGTGGCCCACTGGGAGAGAACTAGAAAATCCTTAATACTGGGAATCTGAGTCTAAGGACAAAAGTGAGCATCTTCGTATTGTCCTGGTTCATAGCCCTCCCAGAGAGTAAGTCAGTAGCCTTTGGGGTTGTGGGTAGCTGAGGTTTTTACTGAGACTCTAGGAACCCTTAAGAGGAAGAGTAAAGTCCAGACACTAATTGTCATTCCAAGGCCTGGCTTTTTGGTCCAGAAGGAACCAGTGAAAATCTTTTCACATGGGTTTTCCTGGAGCAGTCCAGATCTCTCCTAGTTTTGTTAGTTGTGCCTGCTCTCCCCTGGCAGCTGTCTGCACTGTGGGTGCATACAGTAATGGAAGCTGCTGATGGGCTGGGGTGAGATACGGGTGAAATAGTCTTCCAGATGGAAAGGTGTGTGGACACGATATGCAGTCTGCACTGGGGGTGACCTCAGAGGCAGCCTCTGTCAGCCTAGACAGCACAACAGAGAAGAGATGCTGTTTTTCAGCTGTATGCTTGTGTCTCTGCAGTCGGACATGCTTCGGTCTTTAGCCACTACCAGGCCCACAGTGAATGCAGAGGACCTCCTGAAAGTCAAGAAATTCTCTGAGGACTTTGGACAGGAGAGTTAAAGCTTCATGTTGAGAACGAAATTGGGAGTTTGACTGAAGCAAATTCATGGGACTTCCCACACCAGTGGCCAGGCAGGGCCTGAAGTCCTGAAGTCACTAGCATCTCCTCTGCTGCCTGGCGGCCAACCTAGAGGGATGGCGGAAGGGCCTCCACCGCTTCAGAGATGCTTCTCCATGTAGGACACTTGGACACTGGTTCTGCATACTCCTGGATGCTCACAGTCCTAGCCCTAATCTTTTTTTTTTTTTTTTAACTTTTGTTCCCCTAAATTAATGCTGCTTTGATTTCTGTCTTGTTTATAAATAAAGAGAAAAATCATCTGGAAGTGTTAAGGGGTGGGAGCCACCAGGCCCCTGCTCCCACTCCTTTCCTCTTAAGTTTGGCTACTTGACAGCTGACCATGGGGAAATAGGAAAAGCCACCCCCCCTCCTAAGTTTGCACCTGGAGCTTCCAATCTTCCTTGCAGGAGCTGATGACTTCTGTGAGCACAAGGCTGTCCATCAGGAGAGATGACAGTCAGTCAGGCAGGTCTTTATTGCTGCCATCACTGACTGAGAACTGGGCCCAGCCTCTGCTGGTCCTGTCCCTAAGATGTCTAATAAACCCTTTTCCTTTCTTGAGCTACTGTAGTCTTTCATTTTTTATTGTGGGCTTCACTGTTTCTTTCCTTAGCAGGGCAGGAAGTAGAGTGCTCATCAGGCCTGCTGTCCAGTCTGGTGACAAGTCAGGCTGCCTTAAACTCGGAAGTGTGGCTGTAGTTTTGCTCTTTTTTGTCTTGAGACAGGGTTTCAAGTATCTTAGGCAGACTCTGAACTCACTATGTAGACAATAACCTTGAACTCCCAATCCTGCTTCCAGCTCCCAAGTGCTGAGATAGGAGTGAGTGGTAATGTTAGGTCTCTGTTTCCGTGAGGCAACCTCATAACTGCTACTGAACAGATGCTGCCCAGTTTAGAAGGTTCCCAGATAAAGCAGCCCTGGAGATGCTGTGTGACACAGATCACAGTACAGGCATGCACACTCACTGAGGGAATTACTCTAATTTCCAAAAACCAGTATTATTGCTCTGTATTTTACCTCCTGATGCTAAGAATCAAACTAGGTCCCTCCACATTAAGTGCTGTTGTTCCCATGAGCTTTATATGCTCCCAGCTGGAAGTGCTCTAATTGAAAACCTGACTGTGTTTTCAGGGCCAGCACTGACTGTGTAGCCAAGATTACATTGGCCTTTCACTGCTTCTTTGCTCTGATTGAAAGTGGCAGAGTGAAGCTCTGGTTGGTGTTGAGACAGACAGAGACAGAATGTGCCACAGGAGGCACAGGTGCAGTGAGTTGGTCTGATGTGAGTGCTCAGAACTGCAGCCTTTTGCAAAAGCAAGTACTTTGTTGTATTTTTTCAAGACAGGGTTTCTTCGTGTATCCCTGGTCATCCTTAGAACTCACTCTGTAGATTAGGCTGGCCTCGAACTCAAGAGATTCACCTGCCTCTGCCTCCCAAGTGCTAGGACTGAAGTGCACCACCACTGCCTGAAAAGCAAGTACTCTTTAATTGTCAAGACATCGCTTCCTGATTTGAGCTAACTTTTTTCTTTTTCTTTTTTTGAGATAGTCTCACTATGTAATTAATGTATCTCTGGGTGGCCTCAAACATCAGCCTGCCTCTGCCCCCAGAGTGCAGGAATTAAATGTGTGCCACCACACCCCAACTTTACCTGTATGTTAAAACAACTTTCAGATATCTGGACTACATTATTACGAAGCATTGGCTGTGGGGGCAGAATATACATGCCTCGTGAAGTCGCCTGTACTGAGAGTGTTTACCTGCCCACTTCTTTCCATGCAAAATTGTCGGGAAATACCCACTCCCTCTTCAGTATTTCTATTCACGCTGTAACAGAACTCTGTCCAAATCTGATTCAGGACCAGCAATCCCCACCATCTTCCTTTATCTCAGTTCAGCACATACCAGCAGTCCACTGTTTACTGTCAGGTTGGAACAATTCCAAGTTGAAGCACAAAAAGATGTGCTCATCTTAACACCAAGTGTCCGCATGCCAGTTTTCAGGACAGAGCTTCAGTCATTCACCTCCATCCAGTGGAGATTGGTAAATGTCCCACTGTCCATTTTGTCAATGAACAAGCAACCCTGCAAGTGATCCATCTCATGCTGGATGATCCGGGCTGTCCACCCATTTGCTGACCACACCACTGGCTCTCCTCTTGGGTTCAGTCCTGCAAAGGAAGTTACAGGCTGGCTGAGGTGAGGCTTTGCCGGATATGCTTTGCCTCCTCCTGTCTCTACTTCCTGATTGCTGCCCTGGCTATGCCTATTTGCATCCTATCTACAGAGGCAACACCCGAGAGTGAATGTAGATAATAATAGCCCTTATCCATCCTAGAAAGGATGCTTCAATTTTGTTCAGCGCCAACTTTTTTTATTCAGCCTGATTCCCAGCTTTACTATAGAGCAAAGATAAGAAATCCTCTTGCTGAGGCGCTTCCCTCCTCAAAGCTCTTCTCAGGTGCTGTTTACCAAAGATAATTAAACTAGGCACAGTAGCAAATAATAACCACAGTCTACAAAACAATGTGGACGACAGGCATGGAATGATTTGTTGCCCTCGTCCAGATAAAGCTGGGTTCCGTTTTCTTACACAAGTCCACCATGACTGATAAACTAGGAACGTGTAATACCGACACACATACATGGGAATCTATATACATACCTACGAGAGAGGAGAGAGACAGACTCCCTATCTAGTCTCCCTGGTTGGCACCCTGCGTCCCATGTAGGTGGGTTTTGCCTTGCTCTTCAGGAGTGCTGTCTGTCAGCCCTGAGTTTCGTGTGCTACCGAGACCTGCTGGGTTTGCAGTCTCCGACTAGGAAGAGCATGGCCACCCCGCCGCCCCGTGCCCTGCACCTGAGATCTGCACCGCCTGGAAGCGAGGCACACACGCCAGGAAGCCAGCGACACTCTCGCAGCCCTCGGGGAAGGTGACCAAGCGGCTGTCCAGCACCCTCAGGCTGGGGTTCACCAGCACGCGAAGCGGAAAGGGCTCCATCTGGCGCAGCTCGCGCAGGCGTGGTGAGAAGGCCCGGAAGAGCGCGTCGGGGAACTCGAGCGCCAGCACTTGCAGCGGCACCCCCAGCTGCGGCGCACTCAGGCCCACGCAACCGCGCCGCCGCATCACCTGCACCAGCCGCCCCACCAGCTGCTGCAGCTCCGGCCCCGCCAGCTGTGCGGGCTCCACCGGGGCCGCCACGGCGCGCAGCACCGGGTCCCCGACCTGACACACGCGCGTGTATGGCGGCTGCGGCGCGCCCCATACCAGGCGCCTCAGGTACCGCCAATAGGAGCGCGTGCGCGCGGGGCCCTCTAGGCCGGACCACGAGCTGCAGCCCCGCGCCCGGCCCAGCGGGACCCGCGACGCAACCAGCAGCCCACCCAGCAGCCCCATGGCGCCGAAACCGCCGCGGCCCATCCTCCCAGTAGCGCCAGGGCCGCTGGGAAGCGTAGTTCCCGCGCGACTTGGGGCATTCGTCATCAGGAACAGCAGCCAGGTGGCGAGAGTCGCTCGGCTTTATTAAAGGTCCCATGTACCACAGTGCCCCGCGACATCCTAGGCAAAGCAGTCTCGGCCTCCACACACGCGGCGACCCTCCCTTCTAGATGCCACAGGCAGCACTGTGCCTTTAGTGCTGCTCGCCAGCCTGGGTGCAGGGACCACCTAGGGCTCCTCACTCGGGGGCTGCAGCGGCTCTCCCTGCAATGGCTCTCCCTGCAGCGGCTCCCCGGCTTCTTCCCTCTCTGGCCCGCCCTCAGGGGCTGCTGAAGTAACTGGCTCCAGGCAGGGTTGCTCCACGGAAAGCTCTAGTTCCGGGGCCGCGAGGTCGGGTACTAGCTCCTGGTCATCTAGACAGAGGACTGTCTCTCTCTTAGGCAGGATAAAGGCGAGAGGCTCCTGGATGGCGTCGATGTTCACATGCCCAAGGCTTCCGTGCTTGCAGAGCTGGGTGGGCGAAATGCCTGACCCACAAGTAGGAAAAATGAAATGGTAAAAAAGTTATTAAATTCAATGCAGAGACCATGGGGGGCACTCAGAATAAAGAACTGACACAATGACATATTCCAATTCAGAGAGCATATTGGTAATATGGAAAGACTGTTATACCGGGGCCCCTCAGTAAGGGTGGGTGGTGGTGGAGCTGGAGCCAGGAGACATTAGAACCCTAGGACAGACACAAGAGAAAGACAGTACTAAACCAAGATGGAGAACAGCTACCCTTAGACAAGGTCATCACTGACCCACTGCCTGAGGGGAGCTGTGCCTCCCTCACCCAAATTCATAAGAGATCTATAACTGAGAAAAAATAAGTTTTTACTGGTCTCATTTTTATTTTTCTGAGACAGGGTCTCTCTACCTAGCACTGGCTATCCTGGAATTCCACATCTAGACAAGACAGGCCTCCAGTTCAGAGATCCACCTGCCTCAAGTTTTCCAAGTGCTGGGGTTAAAGGCCTGTGCCTCCAAGCCCAGTGAGGGATTTTTGTTTGTTTTCAAGACATGGTTTCTCTGTGTAGCCTGCTGTCCTGGAAACTCACTCTGGACCAGGCTGGCCTTGGAAGTCACATCTTCCGGCCTCTGCCTCCCCAATGCTGGGATCAAAGGTGTGCACCACTACAGCCCCACTCGAAAACTTCTTCCTCTTTTTTTCATTTTTTTTTTTCTTGAGACAGGGTTTCTCTGTGGCTTTGGAGGCTGCCCTGGAACTCGCTCTGTAGACCAGGCTTTCTTACTCTTAAAAAGTGTGGTGATGCATGCCTGTAACCCCAACCCCTGGAAGGAGAAGTAGGATGACCAGAAAGAAGCTCAAGAATGGCTTCAACTACATATCGAATTCAAGGCCAGCTACATGAGACTTAAAATAAAAAGATATTAACATACACATACCCCAAACAGACTTTACATGAATACATAATGAAAAACAATAAAAACAGACCAAGTGGTAGTAGCACAGACCTTTTTTTTTTTTTATAATTGTGCATACAGCCTTTGGTCTGCAGGCCAGCAGAGGGTACCAGATTTCATTCAAGGTGGTTGTGAGCCACCATGTGGTTGCCGGGAATTGAACTCAGGACCTCTGGAAGAACAGTCAGTGCTCTTAACCGCTGAGCCATCTCTCCAGCCCCCGTAGCACAGACCTTTAATCCCTGTCATCCAGAGGATCTCTGAGTTCAAAGCCAGCCTGGTATAAGGAGGGAGTTCCAGAACAGCCAGGGCTATATAATGAAATTCTGTCTTAAAAAAGCCAAAAAACAGCCAGGCGTTGGTGGCACATACCTTTAATCCTAGCACTCAGGAGGCAGAGGCAGGTGGATCTCTGTGAGCTCGAGGCCAGCCTGGTTTACAAGAGCTAGTTCCAGGACAGCCTCCAAAGCCACAGAGAAACCCTGTCTCGAAAAACCAAAAAAAAAAAAAAAAAAAAAAAAAAGGCCAAAAACCACAACAACAATAAAATAATTAAAAATCAAAAACTAATAATAATAATAAAATCATAAAAGAAACCAGAGCTAGGTGTCATGGTTCATGCCTTAATCCAAGCACTGGAGATATAGAGGAAGACAGATCTCTGAGTTCCAGGTCAGCCTGGACTATACAGATTCTGTAACAAAAAAAAAAGTAAAAAAATTTAAAAATCTGGGCTGAAGAGCTGGCTCAGAGGTTAAGAGCACTGACTGCTCTTCCAGGGGTCCTGAGTTCAATTCCCAGAAACCACATGGTGGCTCACAACCATCTGTAATGAGATCTGGTGCCCTCTTCTGTCCTGTAGGCAGAACACTGTACATGTCATAAATAAAGAAATCTTTTTTTTTTTTTTTTTTTTTTTTTGTTTTTTCGAGACAGGGTTTCTCTGTAGCTTTGGAGGCTGTCCTGGAACTCACTTTGTAGACCAGGCTGGCCTTGAACTCACAGAGATCCGCCTGCCTCTGCCTCCCGAGTCTGGGATAAAGAAATCTTAAAAAAACAATTAAACAATCTTTCCTTTCTCTTACCTAGAGTCTGGGCTATCTGAGCTGGTGGGAAAAGGACTTGCAGACAGCGGTTCAAATAGGGGACAAGGTCTTCCAGAAAGGCAGTGCAGAACTGGACAAAGATTTCCTGCTCCCCACTGCTGAAGGCAGCCTCTTCAGCACGATGGAATGCCAGGATTGTTTTGGTTACCTACAAGACAGGTGACAACAATCAACCACAGAGGAAGTCCACTGCTGTGACTAGAATAGCACAAAGTGCAGCATAAAGACAGTTCGTTCATAGCCGGGTGGTAAGGGCGCACACTTTAGTCCCAGCACTGGGGAGGCAGAGACAGGCAGATCTCTGTGAGTTCAAGGCCAGCCTGCTGTACAGAGCGACTTCCAGGACAGCCAGGGCTGTTACACAGAGAAACCCTGTCTCAAAAACAAAAAAGTCAGAGAAACCCTGTCCAAAAAAAAAAAAGAAAAAAAAAGAAAACCAAAAAAGTATTCATTCCCAACAGTACATTTCATTGCTATCTTGTTCACATTCAGCACTGTGGTCAATAGTCACTATTGTGTCACTTCATTGGTAGACTTATGACCCAACTTGTCATGTTCTGGTGGGGCTTCCAGTTCCAGTAGTGGAACATCATGAAAAACAAGGGAGATGCTCTCCTTCAGACTTTGAGGAAGACACAGACATGTTGTGAGCTGTCTGAGCTGAGGACCTCAGTTCTCTGACTTTTCCAATGGCATGGAATGGCACCTCTGACAGAGGCCAGCACTCTAACTCCAATAGACACCAGGACAAGCTGACACCGTGAATACAGCCTGGGAGACCCTGAGACAGTGTACCTGGGTTCCTGGCTCACAGACTCTGGGTGATATGAGTACTGTTTAAAGCTGCTGAGTTCCTGGGATTCTGGTGTCAACAATAGACTGCATGCTGAATGACTGCCACAGGTACTCTACTTCACAGCTTCTTCTAGAATCATCCCCATAAAGAGTGATCCACCATCAGGGTTGCTCTACCAGGAAAACCCTTAAGACCACACTAAACCTCTCCTTGTCAGCAGGCGCCATGGTTACACGGCCTGGTTTAATACAAAAGCCTGGCTGGCTATTAACAAAGGCAGACCAAGGTAGCAGAAAGTTACCCACCTTGGCAAGAGCATCCTCCAAGGCCTGAGTCACATCCTGTGCTAGGGCCACAGGACAGCAGAGACGCAAATCATTGAAAGCAACCAAAATGTTGTTGAGGAAGCAGGCAAGGGGCGGGAAGTCTAAGAGCACCATTGGTGGCTGCAGTGTCCCTGGTTGTGTGGTTGGCACTGGAGCAGGCATGTTACTGCTGCCCAGGATGGCTGCAGCTGAGATGAGGGTGTAGGAAGTCATTTCATCCTGGAATTTCTCCACTGCTTCCTCAACAGCTTTCTGGAAAGTGTTGATTGCCACCCTCTGGAAAACAGGAGCCAACTGGCCTCGGAAATCAGCCCCTACCCGGCTAAAGGACAGTCCGAAGTACATGCACTGGCCCAGCAGAGAGTCCAAGCGGCCACCTACACCCCGGTAAAGATCGGTCTCTAGCACCTGCAGGAACTGTGAGATTTTCTGCAGCACCCAGCCATGGAAGATGGCACCCTCATTCACAGTGTACTCTCCCTTGGCAGGTGGGAGCAAGGGGTCTTCATCTGAGAAGATGGCACGGTACTGGGTGATGATATCAAAGAGGTGGACCCTGCAGGCCTCAATGGTTTTTGTGATATGGAAATAAGGATCATCATTAGGGACGGCAGTCAGGATGGAGCGAAGCCAAGCATCCCGGGCCTGAAGAAACTTCACCCTCAGCTCAGCCTCAGTGAAGACATCCATGCGCCGAAGATAGCCAATGACACGCAGGCAGGCAGGGAGCTGGATGTTGGTCCTCAGTTGCTGGATCAGCTGGCTGAGCATCAGTTGCATGGACTGACGAACCTCATTCACAATGCCCTGACAATACAGCACAGAGTCACAACACACTGAGAAAAATATTTTGAAACCCATCCTACTGACCCTGGACCCTGGAGAACAGCATTCTTATGGCTTTCCTGACATACAGCAGATTTCTAAAGCTTACACCAGCAGGTTTACAGAGATCTACTTGCATACATAACTAACTTTCTTGCTCAAAATCCCCCTAGGATTTTCCATCGCAATCAGCAAACTACCAACTATTCATCATGAGGCTCTGCCTGATTCTCCAGTTTCTTTTTTTGTTTGTTTGTTTGCTTGTTTTTTCCGAGACAGTGTTTCCCTGTGGCTCTAGAGGCTGTCCTGGAACTAGCTCTGTAGACCAGGGTGGTCTGAAACTCACAGAGATCCACCTGCCTCTGCCTCCCAAGTGTTGGGATTGGGATTAAAGGCGTGCACCATCACCGCCTGGCATGATTCTCCAGTTTCATTGGCTTCCTAATGCCCTAGCCTTTCTCATTACAGTCCAGTAAGAGTGTCTGGTTTGGAACTCCTGAAACACTCCAATTTCTCTCCACCTCACCCTGTATCGCCTCTACTTTCTATTTGCTCTCTCTCTAGAGTTTCAAGTATTGGTTCTTTCTTATCCTAATCATGCTAGCAAAGCAACACTGTAACAACCCTTCCCCGCCCTCTACTAGTCCCCAACTCATTTTACTTTTGTTGTTTTGAGACAGAATCTCAGCAAGCTGGCCTCAAACTTACTAAGTAGCTAAGAATGGCTTTGAACTCCTGAGTGATCCTTTTGTCTCCATCTTCCAGGTGCTGAATTTACAGACCTACCCGTCATGCCTACCTGGCTTTCTCTGGCTTATTTCTTCTGATATTTATCAGTATCTCAATTATCACACATTCACTAGAGTAGAAAGTTCATGAGAGCCATGGCCTTGAATGCTTTGTTCACATGGTTTTACTAGTACCTAAGTCAGTGTCTGGCACTGGAGTAATATGGTCTTTGGGCAGGTGGTGGTGGTATATGCCTTTAATCCCGGTTAAAGGGAGGCAGAGGTCAGCCTGATCTACAGACTGAGTTTCAGGACACCCTGAGCTACACAAAGAAACCCTCTCTCAAAAAAGGCAAAAAACCCAAACCACAACAGAAAAGATCACTGAATAAGTGAGCCTGGCTAGCAGAAATTGATATGAAATATGCAAAGGTTTCTACTTAAAAGCTTAGTCATAATCACAGACTAATAATTACAAGATCATCAGATCATCATCTTGAGGGCCCTCTGGGCAAGTTGGCTACCTGGATGACAGGGATGGAGGAGTATTTCCTCTCCAGTCGTCGCACATAGGCTGCAAGCTCCAGGGCCTCTTCATAATAGCTGTTTCGGACACAGGTGTCCATAAGCTGTGGAATCTCTAAAATCTCTAGGATTTCTGTGTGCCGGTTTAGAGTCAGGGTGTTCATCCGGCGGTTAGAGCTGATCTCCTCGGCTTCCTTCACAAAGTTCCTAGAACCAATTAGGAAAATATATTTCTTCATTGTTTTGCACAGTAGGTAGTTACCAAGTATTTATCACACTGGTTCATTTAAAATCTTCACTCAGTGCTGAGTGTGGTGGCATATATACCATAAGCCCAACCTCCCAGCGACTGAGGTTGATATGAGTTCATGTTTTTTTTTATTTTTATTTTTATTTTTATTTTTGGTTTTTCGAGACAGGGTTTCTCTGTATTGTTTTGGAGCCTGTCCTGGAACTCACTCGGTAGACCAGGCTGGTCTAGAACTCACAGAGATCCGCCTGTCTCTGCCTCCCGAGTGCTGGGATTAAAGGCGTGCGCCACCAACACCCAGCCCTCCATGTAATTTTTAAAATGGCTTGTAGATCTGGATTGGCTGCAAGGATTGTCACATTTGGGACTGGACTGCTCACGGTCTCGTGAAGAAGGACTAAGTTATGACAAGGTACTTTGCCTCTCTGGACCTATCTCTTCCCTGGTTAAAAGTAAGAAGACCCATTTCACAAAGGCATGAAAGTTAGAAACAGGTAAGAAGACATGTATTAGCCTGGGTGACAGTGGTATCCTACACCTTGAATCTGGGCACTCAGGAGGCAGAGGCAAGCAGATATCTGAGTTTGAGGCCAACCTGGTTTACAGAGGGAGTTCCAGGACAGCAAAGGCTACACAGAGAAACCCTGTCTTGCAGAAACAAGACATGAAGTACACAGTACCTGCCACAAGTAAATGTATAAAAACAGTACACAAATAAATTCCTTACTAGCTATTATTGGGGCTAGAGAGATGGCTCAGCAATCACCACCCTTGCAGGGGACTCTGGTTCAGATCCTAGGACACATATCAAGTGGTTCATGGCCACTCCAGTCCTATCGGATCTGACACCCCCTTCTGGCATCCCTGGGCACATATGGTGCTCAGACACACATGCAGGCAGAACATTCACACACTTATTTTTAATAGCTACTAATATTTCCCTAACAGAGCACTAACTAGCCTACAAGCCACACTCTGGCCCTAAGAGCCTGGCCCTCAGGTCTTACTGTGATGAGCTGCTGTCCAACCTTTGTCCTTCCTCTCTAGCTTTCCCCACCTCTCTACAGCAATTCCAGAAACCGGCTTGATCAGGCACAGAGGTACAAAAGCTATTTTAAATATCCAAAAGCTCTAAAGAAAACTGAACTTGAATCACGTAAAGCTGGATAGCAGAACTAAGGGTATTAGACTAGGACCTAGGAAGGTAATATAGGTCAAAAAGAAAATGCTTTTGACAACCTACGATGTCCCAAATAGGATTTCCAGGTCAGTCAGCCTCATATCGATGGAAGTTTCAAAGCAGCTAGCCTACAGCCCAAGCTGTTGAATATTCCTAACTACAAAGGTTGCATACACACTAAGCTGGCATTTATGGAGTGTTAACTATGTCGGGCCCAATCAACTGCTTTACATAGATTTTTGTTGGTTTTGATATAATGTACAATGTCTCGTGTAGCTCAGGTTGGCCTGAACTCAATATGCAGACTTGGATGATGAGTTTGCGCTGCAAGTGCCGGAATCACAGCTTGTGTTTACAACACTGGCTGGACTTTTATTATTATTTAATGAAGCAGCCTATGAGGGAGCGGTGGACTCCTGGCTGTCAGTTTTGACTTGGAAACTTACTAGCTGTGTTCCTGCACAAGTCACTTCACTTCGACTCCCTCGTCTGTAAAATGACAATGACGGTACCTACCTAGATGGCTGTGGTGAAATTTAAGGGCATTAATAAGGCGATCAGGGGAGAGCTCTGTGCTCCATGTATGGGTCAGCTATGTCTAGCCTCCTGGCATCCTGTCAGGTACAGACAGGGGCCTCTCAGCACTAGGCCAGCCGCACCTGCAGCTCTGCTGAAAGCTGGGCAAGCGGTCGAGCAGGTGACCGAGGGACGTCTCCACGTCTCCAAAGAGACGGTGGATGCGCTCGGTGCACTCGGCACCGCGAATGAACGTCTTGTAATTGGCGAAGGCGAGGTCGCGCGTCTGCTGCAGCAGCTGGGCCCGCTCCTCCGCCAGGCGCTCGGGCTCTCGTCGCAGCCGGTCCAGCCCCGAGCCGCTCAACTCCCGGAGGTAGCGGCCCACGTCAGGCCGCTCACGCCACTGGGCCTCAGGGAAGCGGTCGCGGAACAGCGACGCCAGCAGTCCCTCATCTTCCACCTCCCCCCAGCACGGCTGCTGTGGCTGTCGCCGTGGCCGAAGCAGTAGCGGAGGGCTGGAGACTCAGGGCGGCAGCCATCTTCCCAGCAACACCGTCACTTCCTCTCCAGACCCGCCAGGGCGCTGGTTTCGCGCCGGAAACCGGAAACACTCGGGACACATTTCCTTTCTCTATGGTTGCCCCCGGAGGTCCTCCAAGCTAGGTGGCACTGACGCAAAGAGCACGTGGCATCGAGCTAGAAAGTCACGCTTTGGTGTTACCAGGAAGCGGGGTAAAGTGACTTCCGTTTGCGTCTCTCCGGACACGAGGATCCGGGGAATCAAGCTAGCGGGAAAATGAGGCCCTTGACTGAAGAAGAGACCCGAGTAATGTTTGAGAAGATTGCGAAATAGTAGGAACCTGAGAGGCGGACGAGGGACGGGGAGCGGGGACGGGGAGCGGGGACGGGGAGCGGGGGCGGGACGGTCCCGGCGTAGCCTCCAGTGTGCTTTCTGCCCTCAGCATCGGGGAGAACCTACAGCTCTTGGTGGACAGGCCCGACGGCACCTACTGCTTCCGGCTGCACAACGACCGAGTGTACTATGTGAGGTGAGGAGGGGCGGTGCGCTCCGGGTGCCGGGCTGCAGGCCTGCTCCCTGCAGCGGCCGTCACCAGTGCCTCCCTCTCTCCCTCCCTCGTCCTTGTAGCGAGATGATCCTGAAGCTGGCCGCCAACATCTCCGGGGATAAGCTGGTGTCACTGGGGACCTGCTTTGGGAAGTTTACCAAGACCCACAAGTTCCGGCTGCACGTTACAGCTCTCGATTACCTTGCACCCTATGCTAAGGTATGTGGGTCTCATCGCCCGTTTTGCCATCGGGGATGAAGGCAAGGACGACGTAGGTATCGCTGCTTGGACATGCTCAGGAAGGGATACGGGCCTGAGAATGCCATGTACCCGCATAGCCTAGTTGACTGAAACAGAGAGCCCTCCACAGTGTCAGATGGGGATCTGTGATGAGAATGATCCTGGGGTCCAAAAAACACAAAGGAAAACCCCACAACTGTTAAGTTGTCCTTTATGTAAGTTGCTCATAGTGTTGAGGTAGAGTTGAGGAAGGAACTCCATGGCAAAAGATGAAAAGATCAAGGGCCAAACAGTTTAAAGGGAGCGTGTCGTGTGTGCTTGTCTGTTTCCCCACCTCTCCTAAAACACAAAAGCAGCAGCCAATCTACCTACAGGCACATAACTAGCATTTCTGTCTCTTGGTTCCTAACTGTCTTTCAGTATAAAGTATGGATAAAGCCTGGAGCAGAGCAGTCCTTCTTGTATGGAAACCATGTGTTGAAGTCTGGTCTGGGTCGAATCACTGAAAATACTTCTCAGTACCAGGGAGTAGTGGTTTACTCCATGGCAGACATTCCTTTGGTGAGTAGAGATGGTAGCCATCACTAATACTAAGTACCTTATGAAAAGGATGTTGTTTTGGTCTGTGCACCTTTGGATTTCTCAGAGATATAACTGTTTTAACATAGGTTTTTGTTTTTTAGTGAGTGAATTAGTGTTGTTCTTTCAATTCTAGGGTTTTGGGGTAGCAGCAAAGTCTACTCAAGACTGCAGAAAAGTGGACCCCATGGCAATTGTGGTGTTTCATCAAGCAGACATTGGGGAATATGTACGGCATGAAGAGACATTAACTTAGTATGGGCCACCCAAGAACTTTTTGCTGTATGAGAGGACTTAGCTTTGTTTTCTATGTATGCAGACATCATCACGTCAAATTTGGATAACACTGATATATGCCACGTGAATTCTTACTCAACAGAAATGGATCAAAAATAGGGTTTCAGTCCATCTAGAAGCAAAAGCAGGTGGATCACAAGTATAGTGGGCTACTTGGCAAGTTCAAGGCTAGCCTGGGCTACATAGTGAGACCCGTCTCAAAAATCTAAAACAAACCAAAACCTGTCAAGTGTGTGCAAGTAAATAGTGTTTCTATTCTCTATCTGTATCTGTTTTTGAATCAGCAGACTTGTTCTGATAATGAGCTCTAAGTTACTGCACTGAGAACAGGAGCAGTTTTAATGTTATCTGTGATAACACTTTTCCAGGCTAGTAATAGCATAGCAAACTAATGGTATTATTTATTGATGCCGTTAAAGATAGAAACAGCCATATAAGGATAGTAGGCGGCCGGGCGTTGGTGGCACACGCCTTTAATCCCAGCACTCGGGAGGCAGAGGCAGGCCGATCTCTGTGAGTTCGAGGCCAGCCTGGTCTACAAAGTGAGTTCCAGGACAGCCTCCAAAGCCACAGAGAAACCCTGTCTCGAAAAAAACCAAAAAACAAAAAACAAAAAAGGATAGTAGGCTATGCCTATGATTTTTACAAATGGAATTTTATAAAATAATAGATGGAACTCAGCTGTTTTTCTTTGTGGTAAATGGTGTATGGTGTGGAAGAACCTGTACTCAAGCCTCAATTCTGCTGCCTGCCAGCTGTCTGGTATTGGACAAGTTATTCCAGTACCGGATAAGCTTTGTTTTCTTCCTTTGTTAAAAGGAAAAAAAAAAGCATGAACTGGTAAGTGTGAAGTGTCCGGTATACTTTTAATTCCAGCAGTGGGGAGGCAGAGGCAGATGGATTCAAAGCCAGCCTGGTCCACATAGGGAGCTCTTGACCAGCCAAAGGAAAAACAAACCCAAAAAGCACAAAACTGGAAAAACACCTTTAATCATCACGTGCCAGTATTCAGAATTAAAAATAATGATTATAAAGCATCTAGCAAAGATCTGGCAAACAGGTGTGGAATAAATGCTGAAATATGTTTTTAAAAGTGTTTTAGATGTATTTTGTGTGTGTGAATGTTTAATCTGCATGTATATATGTATGCCTGTGCACCGTGACATGGAGGCCTGAAGAAAGTCTTGGATTCCCTGGAACTAGAGTTACAGGTGTATGTGAATTGATGTGGGAGTGTTTGGAACTATGTCTTCTCCAAGAGTGGTCTGTGCACTTAAACCATCAAACTCTCTCTATAACCCCCATTTTTAAAAAACTTTATGTGTGCCAGGCATGGTGGCATATACCATTAATGTCAGCACTCAGGAGACAGGCAGGTGGATCTCTGTGAGCTCAAGGCCAGCAGTCTATATAAGTGAGTTCCAGGACAGTTAGGACTATGTAGAGAAACCCTGTCTCAAAACAAAAAATTTGTGTTTGTGTGAGTATATTCCATTTGGATACCAGTGTCCTTAGAGGCCAAAAGAGGGGGTTGGATTCCCTGGAGCTGAAGTTAAAGGCAGTTATAAGTCACCTTGTGTAGGTGTTGGAAACCAAATCCTGTCCTTTGAAACAGAGAAGGCTCTTAACTGCTGAGGTATCTTCCCTGCCCATCTTTTTTTTTTTTTTTTTTGGTTTTTTTTCCGAGACAGAGTTTCTCTGTATTGTTTTGGAGACTGTCCTGGAACTCACTCTGTAGACCAGGCTGGTCTCGAACTCACAGAGATCCGCCTGTCTCTGCCTCCCAAGTGCTGGGATTAAAGGTGTGTGCGCTAAATGCCCGGCTATCTTTTTTATTTTTTAAGATGGGATCTCACATTGGTCTAAAACAACTATGTAGTCAGGCTGTCTAAGCCCCTCAAGTGATATTTTAGGTCTATGTCACTACACCTCATTTCCAAAGATACCATCCTTTAAAAGTGAAATATTTTCAACCTCAGAAAGGCACTATAGGGCCAGCAGGATAGTTCAGTGGGTGGGCTGGTAGAGTGTATGGTATGGGTATTGTTTTTCATTTATTGATACAAATTCAAGGTCAATTTTGTGATGTGTATATTTTCTCCTCTTGATTAAGTATTGTGCTTATACTGATCTTTTAAAATGTAATGCATAATTGAATACAGATTATAGATAGTTACTTATAATAGAATTTCTAGTTACATAAGTTAGGTTTCTAGATATACAGAAATATATTTGAGATGGACAGTCTTCAAACCTCTCAATGGCGCTGCACCTTAGCTCTTTTTTTTTTGTTTGTTTTTGTTTTTTTTTGTTTTTTTGTTTTTCGAGACAGGGTTTCTCTGTGGCTTTGGAGGCTGTCCTGGAACTAGCTCTTGTAGACCAGGCTGGCTTCGAACTCACAGACATCCACCTGCCTCTTGTTGTTTTTTTTTTTTCTTCTTTTCTTTTTATGCTGAGTCAGGAAGACTCCGGTAACCGAGCCACGTGAATCTCGGCTTGTTGCTAGCAAAACAGAGCACACCTGAGAAAAATGCTGCTACCAAAATCTGTGCTTCTCGCCGTTCTTCTGTTTCTAAAATTTCTTTAAAGCTTTTGTCATTTTATGTGGAAATTCATCATCCCACTCCTGATCACCATTATGTTAAGTGAAGCTTTTTCCTTGCTTGCCGATTTGGTATATTCCCCGCCAGTCGCCTGGGCTCTGCTGCTCCAGCCTGGTTCTAGAGCCCCATGAGTCCCAAATAAACACACAGGAGGCTATATTCATTATGAAGCTGTTGGCCTTGCTTGTTTCTAACTGGCTAGCTCTGACTTAAGTAATTACCCCATAATTGTTAATCTAAGTATGTCTCTTACCGGAGAGGTTTCCAGGCTTCCTACCCCAATGGCGGTTACATCTCGAACTCTCTTGTCTTTTTCTTTCCCAGAATCCTCCTCGACTCCTAGTCCCTCCTATCTAGGTTTTCTATAGGCTCAACAGTACTTTATTGACAAATAACAGGACTTCCCCAACAGAGTGGATACGGGCATGTGCCACCGAGCCTGATATTGAGATCAATCCCTGGGACAAAGTAGGAGGGGGGGAATGCTGAACTTCACAGTCCTATACAATGGATTTAAAAGGTTTTAAAGACACCAAAATTAAACTGTCCCATTGTTTTCAGTTCTTTCAGAGCTTTCTGACTTTGAGATAGGGCCTTGAACTGGCTGAGGCTGATCTTAACGCTTCCACCTCTGGAACGCTAGGGTTCAGGCCTGTGTGCCACCACTCTGATAAATGTGCCGAGGACCAAAGCCAGAGCTGTTGCATGAAAGCAGATACTCTGTCAACTGAGCTACCTCTTTAGGAGCCCTTCCACGGTTTTCTATTACCTTCTAAGTAGAGTCCGTGAAGGTTAAGAGATAGCTGACAGAATGGTATTCTAGGCTGGGAGTGGTAGCACATGCCTTGGCAGTGTGGAGGTAGAGACAAGTGAATCTGAGGCCAGCTGGGTCTACACAGCAAGTTCTGGGCCAGCCAAGGCTACATATTGAAACCCTGTCTCCAAAAACGGCATTTTAGTTTAATCAACATCAGAACTCAATTTTTATTATTGCCATTTCCATTTACTGATGAACACAAAGAGATTTAACTTTCCCCCAAAAAAAGCTGGTTTATTAAAGCTATCCATTAGCATCTTGGCTTCGTGTCAGTAGTTGAGACAGTGAAGAGACGTTTTAAGAAATACAGCTGAAGGACGCCAGAAAGAACAATAGCAAGGCTCTGAGCTGCAGACCACCAGTTCACATAGGTGTAGTTGGATTGGAGAAGGAAAAAATCGGCCACTTTCCTCATCCTGGCAAAGTTGTAGTAGCGCCACATGTGAAAAACATTGTTCTGAACCTTTCGTGTGCTGTCCTGTGGGAAGAAGGAAAGCTGCTCTGACTGCCATCTGGGCTTCATCTGCACTAAGGTAAGCTACCTAAGTCACGGTATTCAAGATCCTGACAGTCAACACTGCTATAGCACTTGATAATAAAAGGTTTGTTGAGCCAGGAGGCGGTGGTGCACGCCTTTAATCCCAGCACTCAGGAGGCAGAGGCACGTGGATCTCTGTGAGTTCGAGGACAGCCAGCACTGTTACACACACAAACCCTGTCACAGAAAAAAAAAAAGAACAAAAAAATGACACTTTGGTTATATTTAAAAAGATCTGCTGGGGCTAGGCAGTGGTGGCGCACGCCTTTAATCCCAGCACTCAGGGAGGCAGAGGCAGGTGGATCTCTGTGAGTTCGAGGCTGGGCTGGTCTGACAGTCTCCAAAACAATACAGAGAAACCCTGTCTTGTAAAAACAAAAAAAAAAAAGTTCTACTGGGGTAGTTTTAAAGTTGAGAGGTATGGGTGGGAGCTTGGCATGTACCTCCTCTGTTGTAAGAAGGATTGCCTAGTATCCACAAAATTCTTAGTACCCTAACACACAGCCATGTACGTTTGAGGTGAACACTCTTACTGAGCTACTTTTCACGTAGTCCAGGCTGGCCTTACACTGTAGCCAAGGGTAACTTTGAATTCCTGATCTACTCTGTTGAATTATGGGTATACGCCAATATTTGTGCCAGAAATAGTTCTAGAACAATAGATGTGTATTCTAATTGATGTCTTCTCCCTATAGACTCTTGTTAGGCTTATAAAGAAATATCTTTGAAGATGTCTTTTGCAAGTACCAAATTTTGCCATTATAACATAAAAGCAGTTATAAATGATGTGTAACTGACAAATGAACATGGCTCTGTTCCAGAATTAGGTTTACAGAACAAAAGCTTTTGTGTGCCAAGGAGACAAAGTGATAGGAGAGGAGTCCTGCAGATCACATGTCTAGTCAGAGGCTTCACCCAGAACCCAAAGGAAACTTACAAGGAGTTTTTGAGAAAAACGAAGACTTCCCCCCACACACTTTTTTTTTTACTTGTGGTGCTGATACTAGGGCTAGCTAGTAGTGAGATACATCCCCAGTCCCCAGCAAAGGATCTCAGTCAACGTTTTCTGAAAGATCTATAAAATGGTCAATAAGCATATGAAGAGATGTTTAATTTTGTTCTCTTAGAAGAGAGATTTTTAATTTTTTTATTTTATTTGCATGTATGTCTGTGTGAAGGTGTCAGATCTTGGAGTTACAGACAGTTGTGAGCTGTTATGTGGGTGCTGGGAAATGAACCCAGGTCCTCTGTGAGAGCAGCCAGTGCTCTTAACCACTGAGCCATCTTTCCAGCCCTGTTTGTTTGTTTTTTGAGACAGTCTATCTACATAGCTCCAGCTGTCCTGGAGCTCACTTTGTAGACTAAGTTGGCTCAAACTCAGAGATCTGCCTGTTTCTGTCTATGAGACCCTGTTTTTTTTTATTGGTTTTTCAAGACAGGGTTTCTCTGTGGCTTTGGAGGCTGTCCTGGAACTCGCTCTGTAGACCAGGCTGGCCTCGAACTCACAGAGATCCACCTGCCTCTGCCTCCCGAGTGCTGGGATTAAAGGCGTGCGCCACCAACGCCCGGCCAAGACCCTGTTTTTTTAAAAAAGAGAAGAGGTAATCAAAGAGAGGCAGTTGGTGCACACCTTTAATTCCAGCACTTGGGAGGTGGAGGCAGAAAGATCTTTCTGAGCTTGAGACCAGCCTGGTCTACAGTGTTCTGGGACAGCCAGAGCTGTTATATGAGATAGTGTCTCTAAAAACCAAAATAAGTAAATAATCAAGCTGTGCATGGTGGCACATGCCTTTAATCTCAGCACTAAAGAGACAGAGATCTCTGTGAGTTCAAGGCCAGCCAAGGATGCACAGTAAGACCTTGTCTCAAACAAACAGAAGCCATGCTTCCTGAAAGAAGCCACCACAAAGCCACATGTGTGACTCTGTTTACATAAAATTTCATACAGAAAGCCATAGGAACAGTACACAAGTGATTCTAGCATTGGGAGATTCTGGAGGGAATGGGGGCAGTCAGGATGTGTGTAGAGTTTCTTTCAGGGAAATGAGATTGTTCTGCGTTGGCACAACTTTGTGAATATATATGAGAAGAGGCAGTGGGATAGATGGATCTGTTAGCCATTGTTTGCCCAGGCCTCAAAACCAAACAGTGGAGCTCCATGCATAATGCCGAACTGAAGGGTTCAGCTTCTCTTACCTGTTTTGTTTTTGTCATAAGTCATTCAGGCTATATCTCCAGGCATGCTAATCCCATTACCTCGATCGCATCCAGAGTATCATTCAGCTGCTTCCTTTGATTCTCTTTGTGATCCATCTCAGGCCCCTCATAGAAGACTCCAAAGTTGAGATATACTTGTACAGAACTGAAGCGATTCTGCTCATTTTTTAGACAAAGCTGATAGAAACCTGTGGGAATTCCTAGATCTCATTACCATGTTTTAGGTGTCCCACCTTGTCTTTTTTTTTTTTTTTTCCCCGAGACAGGGTTTCTCTGTATTGTTTTGGAGGCTGTCCTGGAACTCGCTCTGTAGACCAGGCTGGCCTCGAACTCACAGAGATCCACCTGCCTCTGCCTCCCGAGTGCTGGGATTAAAGGCGTGCGCCACCAACGCCCGGCTCGGACAAAAGTGTTCTAACTAGAATAATTCTCTACAAAGTGTTTTGCTTGATGACTGCAAGTTTAGAATTTCTATTTTTTATTTTATTATTTTTGTTTTATTTTGCTGTTTGGGACAAAGTTTCTTTGTGCAACAGCCCTGGCTATACTGAAACTCTCCTTATACATCAGGCTGGCCTCAAACTCACAGAGATTTCCCCCTGCCTCTGCCTCCTGAGTGTTGTGATCAAAGGTATAGGCCACCCTTATTCTCAATTTTATAGTAGCTTACCATTATTATGATAGCCTTGGGAATGAATACAGACCTGTCTCTTGTGTAGCGAAGTTAATCTGGCCCCGAACATCCTGGGATGTATCAATAAGGAAACCTTGTGGAGTATGGATGGTAGCAGCAATGTGTCGATCATGTGACATCCCAAAAGTGAGCTGAACCTTCCGTCACCATTCAAGAGAAAAGAAAAAAGAAGGTCCCTACATCATTCAGACTTGACACCCCATGGCATCAGCACAGTACCTTTGTATGACGGTGCCACCCTCCCAGCCTTCATCTAGAAGCTCGAAACTGAGGTGGCTTTTTTATCACCGCCATGATGGCATGGTAGAGTCACATCAGTGCTGAGTGTTCTGCAGTGGCATACACAGAATGTAGGATATAGTTACCCAAACAGTTCCCCTGATGAGGGAGAAAGCAGGTTACCTGCCACACAGAATAGGGGTCACTACCATGTGCGGTCGCCATGGAGTTCCTGGCTGATGTTGGGGGGTTGAGCTCCCTGGGGTGACCTAGATTTGGGTATTTGCTGCTTGAGAGTCCCCTCCCCAAAGCAAGCAGTACTCCTGGACACTTGTCCACAGTAAGCTCAATAGTAGCTTTGGTCTAACATAACATAGACCATAAAAGACTGGTACATTAGGACAGGTGCAGTGAAGGGCAACTTTAATCCCAGCACTCAGGAGGCAGAGACAGGCAGATCCCAGCCTGGTCTACAGAGCCAGTTCCAGGACAACCAGGACTACACAGAGAAACCCTGTCTTGAAAAACAACAAAAAGTTAATTTCAATAGAATAAGAGTTTGTGGGTTTTTTTGTTTTGTTTTTTGGGTTTTTTTTTGTTTTTGTTTTTGGAGGGGAGTTTCAAGACAGAGTTTCTCTGTGGCTTTGGAGGCTGTCCTGGAACTCGCTCAGTAGAACTCACAGAGATCCACCTGCCTCTGCCTCCCGAGTGCTGGGATTAAAGGCGTGTGCCACCAACACCCAGCAAAATAAATCTTAAAAAAGAAAAAGTAGCCGGGCAGTGGTGGCGCACGCCTTTAATCCCAGCACTCGGGAGGCAGAGGCAGGCGGATCTCTGTGAGTTCGAGGCCAGCCTGGTCTACAAAGTGAGTTCCAGGACAGCCTCCAAAGCCACAGAGAAACCCTGTCTCGAAAAACCAAAAAAAAAAAAAAAAAAGAAAAAGTAGAATTGTCTGGATGCGTAGAGGAGCTTTCAGCTGGTCATTCTCCAGTGTGCTAGGATTAGCAGGGGCAGGAAGAGCTGCCAGCCCCCACCCACTGACTGAAGTGGTTTCTTTGAAATCTATTCACTGCCCTTTTCATCCAACTCTGTGCTGCATACATTAACTATTTTAGAAGGTACTGGCTCTCCTGTCACCTCTAATCAGAGGACTAGTGAAGGCTGTCTCTCCTGAAGAAGTGTGACTTTAGATTTGAGCACACTGCTGTAGCTTGCAGTTCTAGATCTACCCATATGCTTTCATACCTGTTGCTGGCTGATCATCCAACTCTCATTCAGAGTTGCTCTCTAACTGAAGGTCCATTTGATTCACAAGTAGCAACCACAGCATCATAGATAGTCAGACCTTGGCTTCATCCAAAACCTCACTCACTTTATAAAAGCTATGGCCAGAGGCCTCCACGCACCTCATAGCTGAAGTAGAAGTAACCCATCTGGTCAGCAAATTGCCAGAAACATTCTGTGTCTCCTGGGTGGATCACGATGGCAAAGTCATGCTGATTGGCTCCACGGAAGAGTGGCTGGTCCTCAGAGCCAGCAGAAGTCACTAGGCTCGGAACCACCAGCTCAGCCACAAGGAGCAAAGCGATCATGCTGCTTTCTGTGGATTCTTCTGCAGGCGAGCTGTTCAAAGCCCTATGGAAAGGTTAGACAGCTTCTGGCTAATCATTAATCCCACAAGTCACAGTGTTTCAGGGCCATCATAGATGTTCAGCAATACAGGTGCTGTGCCCCCCCCCATCTTGGATCACAGATGGATTTTGCTTTTCACCTCACCTCAAGAAAGTGGCTTGCCAGATCTAGTTAATGGGTTCTAGAAAAGTACTTATCGGAAGAGAATTTTCCATCCATTCTTTGTGCTGTTTTCTCAGTTTTTCCTTCTTGTAGATTAAATATGTGGCAAGTTAATTTATAGCCAGTGTGCATACTGACAAAAGCTGGCTGAACTGAGGTTTCTCTTATATCAAATGGCTAGGTGCCACTTACTTTCTATTCAGCACCAGGTCAACAGGCATCGGCCAACAGATTTTGTGCCCTAGAGCAAAGCTCAGCACATACATGTATACAGAAGTCATTTTTCTCACTTTGGGAGTGGGGTGGGATGCAGGGGTCTCCCATGTTTGTTTTATGTTGTGTCTGCATGTACATCTGAACACCAGAAGAGAGCCTTGGATCCCATAGGACTCCAGTTATAGGAGGTTGTGAGCCTCCATATGGATTCAATTCCTGACACCTAGGACCTCCAGGAGAGCAGCCAGTGCTCTTAACCACTGCTCTCTCCAGCCCCCAGACTAGTCTTGAACTCCAAGATCTGCCTGCCACTGAGTTAAAGACATTTGTCACCATGCCCAGCTACGTAAAAGTTTTAATATATTAAGTACTGGCTAGTTTTATGTTGATACAAGCTATACTCATCTGAGATGAGGCAATCTCAATTAAGAAAATATCTATAAAATCAGGCTGCAGTCCAGCCTTAGGACATTTCTTAGTGATTGATGGAGGGTGCTTGTATGCCTGCATGCCAGAAGAGGGCACCACATCTCCTTATAGATGGTTGTGAGCCACCATATGGTTGCTGGGAATTGAACTTAGGACCTCTGGGGGACCAGCCAGTGTTCTAAACCTCTGAGCCACCTCTCCAGCCCCATGGAGGAACATTTCTTACAACTACTACTTGAAATAAAAACATTAAGTCCAGTGGTACCCATCTAAAATTCCAATACATGGGAGGCTGAAGCAGCAGGATCACAAATGCTAGGCCATACTGGGCTACACTGTGAGATCCTATTTCACCTGCCCCAAGTTACAGATGTCAGACTTGAGAAATTGTCTCAGAACATATGGACTCCAGCCATGCCAACTATTCCTGTGGGACCATGAGCTATTCAAGTTTGTGTTACTGTCTTCAATTGTAATAAAGTAGAGGACAGTATCACCCTGTAGTGTATTGTGAGGATAAAAGAAGATGTTTTTTCTCAGTGCCTGTTGAAGCCATGAATAGGAGACTGAAGACTAGGATATGTAATAATTTTAGGATTGGAATATATAATGGTTTTTTTTTTTTTTTTTGGTTTTTCGAGACAGGGTTTCTCTGTATTGTTGTTTTGGAGCCTGTCCTGGAACTCACTCGGTAGACCAGGCTGGTCTCAAACTCACAGTGATCCGCCTGTCTCTGCCTCCCGAGTGCTGGGATTAAAGGCGTGCGCCACCAACGACCGGCTATATAATGGTATTAAGGTGGATATTGAACAGTCTTTCCCTCCCTGTGGGTCTGAAGAAGTCATGAAGAAGAGAAGGAAGGTTTAAAACTATAATTTTTCAGATGGTTTTGGAGAGCAGTAGGTGGGAGTCAGCAGGAGAGACTCAGCGAAGGAACAGACCACGTTCTTGTTCACTATCTGTCTGGGTTTCTTTTTCTATTTTGTTTCTCTCTTCGAGACAGGATTTCTCTGTGTGACAGCTCTGGAACTAGCAGAGATCCTCCTGCTTCTGCCTCCCAAGTGCTGGGATTAAAGGTGTGCACCACCACCGCCGAGTCTGGGTTTCTATTGCTGTGCTAAACACCATGACCAAGAGCAAGTTGAGGAGGAAAGGGTTTATTTGGCTTACACTTCCATAACACTGTTCATCTTCGAAGGAAGAAATCAGGACAGAAACTCAAGGCGGGAACCTGGGGGCAGGAGCTGATGTAGAAACTCTGGAGGAGTGCTGCTTGCTGGCTTTTCTCCTTTGTTTGCGGTTTTTTTTTTTTTTTTTGGCTCAGCCTATTTTCTTATAGACAGAATGCTGTATGTAAATAAATAAATGTTCCCCCCGATAGTCAGGCATTTGAATACTTGGTTCTTAGTTGGTGGCACTGTTTGGGCAGGTTTCCGAGGTGTGGCCTTGCTAGAGAAAGTATGCCACTGGGGATTGACCTCTCCTAATTTTCTTTTTTTTTTGAAACTGGGTCTATCCTGTAACTTGTTGTACATCAGGCTAGCCTTGAACTCACAGAGATCACCTGGCTGTGGCTCCCAAGTGCAGGGATTAAAACATTATGCACGGCTGTTTTATGCTTGTGGTTCAAGATGTGAGCCCTTTGGGGCTATAGAGATGGCTCAGTGGTTAAGAGTACTGACTATTCTTCCAGAGGACCCTGGCTCAATTCCCTCCTCCCACATGGTGGCTCAGGGCTGTCTTTAACTCCAGTTCCAGGTAATCTAACACCCTCACATGGACACACATGCAGGCAAAACACCAATGAGCATAAAAAAAAGTGAGCCCTCAGCTTCTGCTCTATCTGCCATGCCTGCTGCTTGCTACAATACCTTCCTGCCATGATGGATCTTTTGTTTTTCCAGACAGGGTTTTTTTTTCTGTGTAACCCTGGCTATCCTGGAACAACTCTGTAGACTAGGCTCCTGGAACTCACAGAGATCCATCTGCCTCTACCTCCTGCTGCCCCCCCCCATGCTGGGATTAAAGGTGTGTACCACCATTGCCTGACCATCATTTCTTTATCCCTCTAGAACCTTAAGCCCAAATAAACTCTCTTCTGTAAGTTGCTGCCTTGGTCATGGTGTTTTACAGCAATAGTGAAGTATCTAATATAGTCTTTAAAAAACAACAGGGAGCCGGGCAATGGTGGCGTACGCCTTTAATCCCAGCACTTGGGAGGCAGAAGCAGGTGGATCTCTGTGAGTTTGAGACTAGCCTGGTCTACCGAGTGAGTTCCAGGACAGGCTCCAAAGCAATACAGAGAAAACCTGTCTCGAAAAATTAAAAACAAAACAAAAAAAAAACCCCAACAACAAAAAACCCCAAAACCAAATCAAAACAACAACAGGGAAGAGGTGTCATTTTCTTCAGTGTTTGTATACTATTGAAATACTGGAAAGTAGCCATGCTGGAGGGAGGTGGGAGGGGGCACGATGACAGAAAGATGTCTGAGTTTGAGGCCAGTCTCATCTACCTAGCAAGTTCCAGGAAACATACTCACTATGTTGGCACCTTTAAACCAAGAATTTCCTAGAATTCACTCCAAGTGTTACAGGTAATAAGCAGACACTCCCATCACTACCTGGGAGGCCTGGTTGCTCTGGGACATTTTTTTTTTTCCTTAGACAGGGTAGGGTTTGTCTGTGTAGTCCTGGCTGTCCTGGAACTCACTATGTAGATCAGGCTGGTCTCAAACTCCACCTGCCTCTGCCTCCCAAGTGCTGGGATTGAAGGCATGGGCCTCCACCACCTGGCTCTCCAGGGCAGTTTTTAAGGCAGGGGAACCTGGGACTACCTCATTCCACAGGGACACATTTCCTGTCAAGTCCCAGTGCCAGCACAATCTTAACGTCACTTATGTTACAAGCAGCATCCATAGAAAATTCTACAGTTCAACAAAAAGCAAAGCATAGTTGTTTGAGGAGCCCTGTATAAACAGTGAAATCCTGTGGAAACAGGACAAATGCTCTTTAATTCTCAGCCTCAATACAGAGAAACCCTGTCTCGTAAAACCAAAAAAAAAAAAAAAAAAAAAAATCTCAGCCTCACCCTCCTCCCTGGAGACAGCCTTCTAAGGGTGGGCAAGAAATAGTGACTCTCATCAGGCTGGAGCGAGGTTACAACTAGCTACAGCTACCAGGCACAGCACTGAGCAGCTCCGGGTCTCACTTCTCTGTGGCGTCCTGTGTTGGTTGGTAAGAGGGCAGGCAGGAAATCGTTTCAAATGCCACACACAGCCAACGGGTTCTAATCCTGCACTTTTCACACTTCAATAAGTTAAACATGAAATGGAACCTTCCACACATCTCTAAACTTGCCTCGCACTCACTCAGAAGACAGGGATTAGGGACTGTTTAGTCCCTACATAACATGACCCTTAGGAGAAGGGACAAATCCACAGCACGTGTGACATGGCTTCTAAGGACTACAAAGTGGCTTCATAGCAGCTCAAAAGCATTGTGCAGCAGCTTGTAAACTGCCTGCTGCCCCATCTGAAAACATGCTGCACTGCAATTAACCAGCTATGGAACCTTGAGAGAAGCAAGACTTTAATGAAGAATGCTACAAGTAGGAACAACTCATTCTCATTTTTAAAAAAGATTACAGAAAACATTTAACTGAGTTTTTTTGTTTTTTTTTGTTTCGCTAAAAAGACAGTTCTTAAGGGTGTCTGAGAGAAAGCAAGCACGACACTGTACAAAAGGAAAAGGGCATGTTGGATTCCTGTGCAAGACACAAACACGGCACGACTAGGAAGTGTGGGAGCAACCATTTCACAGAGGATGACTTAGGCATTGTATTCAACCAGGACTGATTTTTAAGCTTTAAAAGTCCAGCATAAGGAAAGGCTCTGAGAGGGGGAAGTCGGGGAGGAAGCTAAGCTTATCTACAATCACCATTTTACAAAAAAAAAAAAACAAAAAAACCCAAAACCACACTTGTTCAACCACATGAGAAGTATGGAGGATAAACCTGCCATGTAGCCCAGCACACGTTAACAGCGATGCCAAGGCAGTTAGGTCCAGGGTTGATGATGTAAGTGGCTAAACAGTTTTTAAAAGGAATCAGATTCCACAAGGACTGACAGAGATCCTTTGTTCTTGAGTTAGGAGGCTGAAACTCAACAAGGATTAAGTACATTCCAGATAAGGCTCACATTGCTGGTTTTAACAGGTCTTGGGATCATAAGTACTCCTAAGGGATTCCATCATTTCTTAGGAGAAGGTTCTATGGATTACTAGGGATCAAATTGAAGCAAACCACTAAAAGGAAACACTAATGATATTCTGGTTCTGTACAAGCTGTGTGCCTGTCACCTCTGTTGCAGACACGGGGTGGACTTGGCTTTGCTTCTCAGCTCCATCATCTCCAACAACAGTGATGGGAGTGTCCAGGGGACTTCCCTGGACAGAAGGAGGTCGCCAACAATTCTCATCTCAGTCTAGCTTCTGAAAGACATCAGAGCATCAGTGACTATTGTTCAGACCATGTTCTTGTGAATCCTGTGGAAACGAGAGCCTTTTTCAGTTCATGCCCAGTTTTTTCATGGTTCGCCAGCGATCTTTAATCATCACAGCTGTTCGGTTAATAAAGGGGTAACTTTTAGAAATGGCAACCCAGTTTCCTTCCCCATATTTCTGCACTCCAGCCTTCACCCACTCGCTTTCTTCTATGGTCCACTTCTGCAAAAGAAAACCATAAAACTTGTCAAAACTTGTTGCCACTTACCTCTTTTCCAACATATTGATAAGGTAATCAAAGTCAAAAAATCCTATGAGAATACTCTGAAGCCAACAGCAAGGTTACAACACAGTATAAGCAGAGTGAAGATGGTGCACACACTGAATCCCAGCATTTGGGAGGCAGAGGCAGGCAGATCTCTATTGCAAAGGACAGCCAGAGCTACAAAGACAGACATTGTCTATAAAGAAAAACAAACACGGTGGGTCTGGATAACTAATAATCATCAATGTTCTGACATGTCTTTCTTTTTTTTTATATAATTGATTTTTTAAAGATTTTTATTTATTTATTATTTATTACATATACAGTGTTCTGCCTACATCCCAGAAGAGGGCATCAGATTAATTGTAGATGGTTGTGAGCCACGATGTAGTTGCTGGGAATTGAACTCTGGACCTCTAGAAGAGCAGTCAGTGCTCTTAACCTCTGAGCCATCTATCTCTCCAGCCCCCTGACATGTCTTTCTTTACTGATAATCACTGCTGTGGGGCTGGAGAGACGGCTCAGTGGTCATGAGCACTTGCTGCCCTTGCAGAGGCCCCTGGTTTGGTTTTCCTGCGCTTGCATGGTAGATAACAACCATCTGTAAACTCCAATTTTAGGAGCTCTGATTTTAGGAGCTCAGATTCTTTTTCTGGCTTCCTGGGGGCACTGCACATACACGGTACACACATATACATGCAGGCTCACACACAGAAAAAAAAAAAAGCCAAAACATTGAAAAAACCTAAAACACTGACACTTAAAAATAAGAAAAGAAGTAAAGGGTGCAGCTCAGGGCACAGTGTTCACCAAGCATGGGTGAGGGCTCAAGTCTTAGTGCCAAAACCAAACAACAAAACCCATTGTTTGACCTTAGTTTGAGCTGTCTTAAGAGGTATTTTTCAGGTGCATGGGTAATCTTTGCCTGAGAAGGGAAACCTATTTTACCCTTTCTTATAAAACTCACAACAGAAAAGCATCTTTTTTTTTTTTTTCTCGAGACAGGATTTCTCTGTATTGTTTTGGAGGCTGTCCTGGAACTTGCTGTGTAGACCAGGATGGCCTCGAACTCACTGAGACCTGCCTCTCTCTGCCTCCCGAGTGCTGGGATTAAAGGCGTGCGCCACCAACGCCCGGCTAAAAAAGCATGTTAAGGGCTAGAAAGATGACACAGCATTGGCTGTCCTTCCAGAGGACCTAGTTCCATTCCCAGCATGGTCTCAACCATCTTTAACTCCAGTTCCTGGTGATCCAATGCCCTCTCTGGCCTCTGCCGACACCAG